GGTAAAATCCGAAGCCTTGTTAAAATCTTTCATAAATTCGACTGCAGCTTCGGATGGAGCGAAAAAAATTAATCTTGATTGATCTATGAAATAAGCGGATAACTGCGTTCTTCATCAGGCAAAAATATCATCTTTCGGATCATGTACTAGGAATTGGTGTATCCCTAATTTATTTAAATGTACTTTATTTATTATGTCAAGATGTAAAATAAAGTTGTTTCACATATTAGTTTGAAAATACTAGCGGTAGGATATTGCAATAGACAGACTGTTCTTGTTCACAAAACTAGTGCTTTTTTAACCTTCCAGCCGCCGCCGCCGTGTAGCCAAAATATTCGAGTCAGCCGCCGCTGAGCATTAAAAAATAAATCAAAATTTTTAAAGCCGCCGGCGATGAGCACCTCGGCTGGCACCTCTCGCTCTATCGAACCATAGATAAATAAAGAGAAAAAAAAATTTACTCGATTTTTGAATTACGCGCACCTTAGCTGAATCAGATAAGCATATAACATATTCATGTGTAAATTACTTTTCGTTGTAGATAGAAACTTCAAATCATGTTAAATCGAATGATGCATTATAAAAATGTATCTCATCTGAAGAACTTAGTGCCGTTGAAATAAATCTACAATTAATTTAAGCAACAGAAAAAAAGAAAAATTTGATTTTCTTAAGTAGATTTTTCATATTTTTTTAGATTAAAAAACATGATAAGTATCTTTTTAAAGAGCTGTCCCCGATTCGGTCCGAATCAATCCTTTTGCTTTCCAGTCCCACTAAATGATCTCTCACTTGGGTCCTTTCTCATTTCGGTCCCTCTCCTGTTTAGTTATATGTCATAGAATTAAAAAAATAATTAGAAATATCCAGTTATCCTCATGATTATCTATTTAGCCCTAATCCGCCCACCTCTATAAACGCGTATATTGTACTATTCTAAGTTGGATGAGATTCAAATTTAATTGTGAGCGTTTAACTTTTCAATTCATGTGATACTGAAGCAGAGTATCATATACCACCAATCTATAGAATTTTTGTCCCTTTGAGACGTACTCGTAAAAAGAACAAGACGCACTTTCAGAATTCTTATTTTGAGCTGGGGTCCGTACAAACCCCAGGTGGGCGGATTAGGGTTAAATAATTCATTCGTGAATGGCCATTGGTAAAGAAAATCGTAGCATCATCCAGATTTTGAATTAGTACTTCAGTATTACACAATATTCAAAACTAATCTGGTAAAGAAATAAATGAAAAGAACTTCATTTTGTTGGGTGTGCACATTACATGCATATGTGCTATAATTATGGATCAATTTTTTCTTACGATTCTTTCTTCCATAAGTTCTTTTTTTCTAAGTTAAATAAAAATATAAATCACTATAATCGATTATATTAGGACCGAAATGAGAATCAATTAAAACGGACCAAATTAAGCAAGGAGCCAAGTGAGAAATCATCATCTAATGGGACCGTAAAGCAAAAGGACCGATTCGAACCGAATCGGGGGTAAACCCTTTTTTAAATAAAAAATCAGCTATGAGTAGATATTTTGATTATAATATTCTTAAATAATTGAAAAATGTTTTGTAATTACTTGATTTAAAATCAAATTAACAGAATCTGTCCTCGTCTCAATAGTGCAACATTTGTGTCAAATGAGCATAGAGAACGAACACAGATTATAACTTATTATGTTGTTTGCCTATCAATTTGACGAATTTGAAAGATATTAAGTTTTATTGGTTGCTATATAGACTTGTCAACACCTGTTGAACCTTTTTCTTTAATTATTGACTTTATTATAGTTTTCATGCCAGCAATGAGGGTTCTAAATAGTAAAATTATTCTTGTTTTCATTAAAAACTGTTGATAGATATCAACAAAAGCTTAGAAGTCGCTGTGAAAACAAACCTCAATTGAATTATAGATTCATTTCAGTTTGTGACCTTTGTTAAGCATTTTATCTTTATAAAATAAATAAATAAATGTTTTCGTCTACGATACATAAAAGTTAGTTAAACAGAACGAGAATAGTGCACTCAAAATGTCCGCACTGATATCTATGCATGAGAAATTATCGCAATAATAAATAGGGCAAGATTGCCGTGTTCAAAGAAACCAGAACCGAATTTTCAGTTAATTAAATGAATGCTTTTTTTCTGCTGATATCTGTACTCTTCTAAAAGTATAAAAAGTAGTGATTAATCGTTTCGTTCGGAAGCGCCAGTATATTATTCTTTTCAGACAATCTTCTTGTGAGCTTGAGTGAAAGAGGAATTACTGTAATAGTCTTCTGCAAGTTTTATCTATGCACTCTTTATTTTATTTTATTCTCCAGATGAAAATTGGACGCGTCAACAAAGACAGAGCGCTTTTGAATGAATGTAACAAAGAATTCGGTAGACTTTCCTTTGTTTAATTGTTTTCTCAGACAAAAGAAAAGCATATGCTAAAAAGGAGCTGTTTTTTCCTCTTGATTATATATTCTACAATGTAAAAAAATGCACGACGTAATTTAATTTCAACATGATAATTAATAAGTAAAAGAACATAAAAAGTTTTCTTGCTAGTTTTTTTTCGATACCTTCCTGGCAGGACATCGATCAGGGGCGGCGGAGCGCCATTAAGCTAGGTGAGGCTCATAATATTTTTTTTCTACTGTGGAATTTTATGAACGCATCAACCAGAAAATAAGTCTTCTTTTTATTGAACTTCAATAAAAATAAAAATGGTCAGTATAAAAACGAAGATTGGAAAATACCAAAATATATTTTTCTTTGCTCCTACTTTGATGCAAGAATAAAAAATAGCAATAATCAGTACAGAAGCAAGTGAGGCTCAAACATCATGGGTCTCAGTGATTCCGCCGCTGCTGAGATCGATATAGAATATCGTTTCAATAAAATGACGTTTTACAACAACTTTTTTTAGCTTCGTGACTTCCTCGTTAGTTTTTCAATTAATGTCATTTGAATACACAAACAGCCGGCCGGTATATATATATATATATATATATATATAGAGAGAGAGAGAGAGAGAGAGAGAGAAAGAGAGAGAGAGTGAGAATTTTTACATCATAATAAGATTTATTTTAGCGATACTAGTCAACGTAGGATTCGATCTGTCTAAAGATTACGTGAAAGAAATGATTAGAATATTCTTTTCTCCACGCAAAGAAATTCTTTTCTCCACGCAAAGAAATTCTTTTCTCCACGCAAAGAAATTCTTTTTTCTTTGTTTGAGAAAAAGGTATTCAATATGTTTCATTCGTGTCGTTTTTGAAGAAACACGTCTTTTTTTAAAATTTCTATATAACAATGAACGAGCAAAGGAAGGAAGAAATACACAAAAAGACAAATTAGTAATTCAGATGAGTACTAATATTTGAATGCAGTGACTCAGATCTGGAATGTTCCTAGGCTGCGTTGTAAGCAATATTATGAACATATATTTTCAGATGCATTTTGTTTACTTTAGAGTCACGACTCACTTTTTATTGTCTGTCTATTTATATACGAGAAGAAATAGGCGAAGTCAATTCTAGATATTGACGTACACATTAAAAAGAGAACTGATGCTTAAGAAAAGAGGAAGCAAAAAGAAGATCGATAGAGAAAAAAGAAAAATAAGAAAAAGAGCGAGAGGGCGAGAAAAAGTAACAGTTATTTCAAAAAGCGGATGTTAGCTAAAAATTTGCGCCTTGCATTTTCATTCTTCTCGTTTCCTGTCTTGTCTCCTATATATAAACGCCATTTTATTCTATTCATTATGATTGAAGACACAGCTATTTTAAAAAATGTAATTTCTTTTAGCAAAATGACTAGTTACATCTGCAAGGTATCTATCATTGAATTGTATGTATACCTTATTATACTTACTCCATTCGTTTAGTCTTCATAGTCTTGACAAGTTTTAATATGGCCGCTAAGATGGCAAAAAAATTCCCTCACATGATTATTTATCATTCTTACCAGAGACCTAGTGTTTTCTGAATGGAGAAATCATGCATCACATAGTCATCACACGTTGAGCTGTAGGCGAAAGAAAAGAAATTCATAAGTCAAAACCTTATTCAGTTGAGAAAACATAAAAGAGCAAGAAAAATTACAAACATTGACAAAAGAATATAATCAAATCTTATATGAATCAACAGATATATTCTTACGAAATTAGATATCAGATTCGTGAGTAGATTTCCTTTGCTGCTTGTCTTTTTTTTAATCACATTCAAACTCTAGAAATCGATAAATGGATTATTAATGAATTATTCATTGTATCGCAATTCTATTAATTGATATTCCAAAAACAAGAATAAATTATATTGTCTCGTCTGTCTTTATAGTATTTAGAGATTGAAATAAATTATTGTAGATTAAATCATGAGTGCTATCAATAACAACACAGCAGTGGCATCAAATATTACAACAGGTTCATCAAATTGGCTTCTTCATTTGTCTCTTTGGTCATTACGTATCTTGTGTCCATTGTTTATCATTATTTGCCCTATTTTAAATTGGGCTTGTATACGAGTATTTCAATCACAAATATATGCTCGATCATCATCAAAATGGTATTTTATATTTATAGCTATATTCGACACAATTTATGTACTCGTTACAGCACCACTTTTATTTTTAATAACCTTAGAAATCTATATTCTAAACTGGCATATATTACTTTGTAAATCGATAGTTTTTTTAAACTATTTATCTTGTCAAATTTCAGCCGGTCTATTAGCATGTTTGTCAATCGATCGTCTTGTTGCAACATCATATATATCATCTTATCGTCAAAATTGTACAACAAATTTATCCAAAATTCTTTGTTTAGCTGTTATATCAGTATTTTCAATTTTGAATTCACATTATTTAATTGGTTATACAATTGATTCACATGGTTATTGTAGCACAAAACACTATCAATGGTATGAAAAAAATTATACAAGATTAAATGTTGTTTATTTACTATCATATTCGATTATACCGTTTACAATCATAGCCATATGTAATATATTTATTGTTATAAGTGTCTGTCGAAATAAAACAAATATGAAGAAAAAATATGATTGCAAACCTTCAATTAACTTATCAAATATTAGTCATGAACAAATTGGATCACCGAAAGCTGCATCTAAAAAATGTGATAAACCGATTAAAAAATTAAAATTTGAACAAAGCTCAACAGACGATACTCCTATTAATGAAAATAAACATGAAATACTTGTATCAATGAAAAATGAGAAAGTGATAAATAATCTCATAGATTCCAAGTGTAAGTTGTAAAAGAAACAACGAATTATTTTTCTTTTACGGCATCTAAGTACTTTTGAGAAATGAGAGTGACTTAATTTTTGTTCATTAATGTTTTTTTAATTTTAACAAAATAGATTACGATATGTTTTCGATTAATTCTAGTTCATTATTTTTCTTTGTTGTTGTTTTAGTCAATTGGCAGTGCAATCGAAACGATGATCTCTTGAACACATCATTATTAAACGCTAAAGAACGAACTAATTCAATAGAAACTCCACCATCACCATCAGAAAAAAAGGAAGCAAATATACGATTATCAGGTGAACGGCCATTAGGATCAAGTGCATTTTCATCACTAACATCACCAACAAATCCACAAAAAATGTGTATGCAACTACAAATAACAATAAGTTTATTAGTTATATCAATTTGTTTTATTCTTTGTACTTTGCCAAATTGTATATCGACAATTATGATTCAAACATACACAAATGATGAGCATGTCAGAAAGTTTTGGCAAGCAATGAATTTTTTTTCTGTTGTTCCATTATTGGCAACGCATTCAGTGAATTTAATTTTTTATTATTTATCATCTAAGATGTTTCGAGAACGTTTCAAACAACATTATTTCAAGAAAAGAGCTTAGAACTTATTTGGAGTAAGATATTTTTTATGGTATGAATGTTGTTTGTTTATTTTTTTGTTTTTATCTTATTGTGATCATGCTATCATCGATCGCCAATATTTAGTCTATTTCTTTTTTTTTATGATTAAATGAGTAGACACATGTGCAAATCTTGAATGAAATGGAATCCTTATTGCAATGAGAGTGAGAGAGAGAGAAATGTTCCTTTCTTCCAACGCTTTGTATATCTTTATTTCTCAGTAGAATCAATTAGCATCATTTTATTTACTTCGAAGATTAATTTGTGTATATGAACCTTGATTTTTTATTTGGAAGAAACTGTTGAGTAATCTTAACCATCAACTTCTCTTTTCTCTTGCTTCTACACGCTTTATAGATGCGTATATTCATGTAATCAAATAGAACAGCTGACTGTTTAGACTATTGATGAATGTATGCACCATAGAAATGTCATAATAAACGTTGTTCTGGATAATTTCACACCGACAAAGGAAAATAAGTGTTTGTTATTATTGTTTTTTTCTAATTTAGACAAGTTCATTTAACGAACTCATTATCTACTTGTAGAGTATTTAATTATTAACGTATCTACTCACTATTGTATTTAAACTATTGCTAGCAGTAGAAAACAAATGAACCAAAGATATAACATAAAATATACTTCTTAGACTTGTTGCCACTTTTGCGTATATTTTTTGTTTGAACATTAAGAATAAGAAGAGATTATTCGTTCTGATTTATTTATTATATATAAAAGGACAAGGTTTTATTCTTCGTATATTTCCTGTTTGTTATTATCTAACTCTGTGAGACATTTTTCAAAGCAAATTAAATTTTTTATGTAGAAAAAGGATTCCTATTTATTATACAAGTAATCAGTATTATAACGTGAAAAATACCATTGTTAAGCAGAGCAAGAGAGCAAATATAAAAGCACTACTACTAATAATAATAAGAAGTGTTTTTGATGACAATTGAAGCGTTCGCCGATTACGTGTAGGTACTTGTTCGAGTATCAAATAATGATTGCTGTCTTTCACTGTCAGAGTTTGTGCTTGTTTATTATTTAAACAAGAACAAAAATTTTCATCTCCAGCTCCATTTCTTTTAATGCGATCAATTGTTCTATTCATATGTATTTTAATAATGGGCTGCGATTCCTGCAGTATCAAATGTTTTGCATGATAGGGATAATCATTAATAGCTAAAAGAGCACTTTCAATTCGAATAGGCTCATTTCCTGTAGAAGGATCTTCTTCTTTTATAGAAAAACAATGTTGACGCTTTGGTATATCCATAGAACTCTGCGTTGAACGATGTAAAAATTTATTTTCGTTACTTAGATCATCATGAACATCATTAGCATTTCGATTGAAATTTTTTTCACTGAAAAAAATAGTTGATTTTGTTGAATGAAAATTTTCAGCATTAGGATTTGTTTGAATTGATGATGTGTCAAATTCGAGTGTTGATTTTGATAATGAAGACATTTTTGTATGAAGGATTGTTAGAATTAAATCAACTTGCTTAATAAAACTAATAATAATAATAATGATGATAATAATATTAATAGTGATAATAATGAAAAGAATATCTCTATTTTTATAATCAACAAGATTTCTATTAGCTATTATACAGAATGATAAAATAATTGTAAATATTTCATGATGTTCTATTAGAGATTGAAGTGAAAGTGACAATGAAAAGAGTAACATAGACGCGCATCGATGAAATGAACAAGCAGATATTTACCCGCTGAATAATTCTTATTTATGATCGAATTTGGAAGGAAAAAATTTAATTAAATTCCTATTAGCAGCGTGCCATCGCTCGTCAACATCTCCAGTTCAAATAAGTGTGAAATTACATTTTCTTTTCACTGAATCTTTATATTCAGTTCACTATTTCAGCAAGGTATTTGTGCAAGAGATTTCTCATGCTTCAAATCAAATATTATTTTGTTTATTAGATGCAAATGATCATTGAAAACTATTCTCCATAAATGATCATTTTTTAGCTATAATTTAAAAACTTATATGGATTCATCGAAATATCATATTAACAATGATAAAAATAAAAAAGAAGTGCACTTAAATTTCTATGGAAAAACATTTTCATGTTTAATGCCATTCAATGATTAATTCAAAATTTTCAAGTTGAATGATATGCATTTGTCACAGAACTAGAGATGCTAGAATAATGTTACGTTACGTGCTTGAATGCAAAATGATCTACTAAATACTAAGATTATGTAAGTGAGCTGATACTCATTTTAATGCATATTTCATTAAAAAATATGGCTTTTGACTATAGTATTATATTTATATATGAAAAACATAAACTAAGATTGCAAATAAAAATATTGAAATGCGCAATTGCTATTAGAGTAAGGAGCATGATATTTGATTCTTATTACGTTCTTGTCAAGCACTTGTTAGATTGGAAACCTTTCAAAAACATTTATTGTTAAACGATATTTCATTTGTAATAGTTTAAACAAAACTGCTCTTATGTTATTTATGTGATCTAAAATGTTTTAGACATTCGTTTAAACATGTGTTTAATAAATTTATTTCTTTTGAATTGAATTTTCAAATGTTTCTTGACAAAAAACAAATTTAACATATCTAATTATTAGGCAATAACATAGTTTGTTTAGGTATATTACTCTGATATATTTAAATTGATTATGATAATTTACGATCGAATCCGATTTGATGATAGAGCTTCCATTACTTTTTTCCTGTTTAATCATTATATATATATATATATATATGTTATTTTAATCATATTTCTTTGAAACAAAGTAAAATTTCCAAACAAGATTAGTATAAGATATATCGGACTATAATTCTAGGCAAGAATGTATATCTTTTAAAAATGTTATTACATGCTAGAATGCTATTGCATTGCCAAGTTTGTCAGATATTTAGATCTTATCAATTATTAATAGTGGATTGACTTCTATTCTATATTCACTGTTTTAGACTATTTCAATGATAGTAGTTTATCATCATGCTGAAATATTTCTTTTTCTTTTTCTTTTTCTATAATAGAAAACTCGTCAATCATAACACATATTCATAATACTTTTCGGCAATAATCATTTAATAACGTATTTTAATATTAATATATATTTTCACTACAACAAATGATGTGAGTCAATAGGTCAATAGCTTGCAGAAATATAGAAAATGCCATGTAACAGACCTACCTATCATCAGGATAAATGTTCGTAAATATGTTTTCTAAGTAACATGATTAAGGTTCATCTTCAAGCTTTAATCTTTTTTTTTACAATATATTTACCATTCAATTTTTGAAGTAAGGCATCTGAGAAACTTTGCTTTAGTTTGGATTAACCGATTACTAGAAACATACCGACGAGTCTCAGTATTGTTTATACAAAACCGTGCTTTTGAAAAATTGTAGAAAATGAATTATTCATCAATGTGCCAGGCATTGATGCCAACATTTTACGGACGTAGTCAAATGATACAACTTCGTAACCACTAGAAGTTTCTTGATTAGTAACTGATTGACTGGTTCAAAATCTACATGAAGTTAATGCACTGTTATGGTACCGGAAAAAAATATCTTCACAAATGCAATCATGCAATTAGCCAAAGATAATAGAAAAATACATTACTTTTTGAGGGTGAAAACAAATATTTAAACTCAATGCACTATCGCAAATAAAGTGTGCGACGTCACAATAAACTTGTTTTAGACAAAGATTTCAAATATATACTTCAAGTGATCAATTATTCGGTGAAGTAATTCATTTCTCGGGCGTGGTTTTGATTGTTCTGTTTGCAGTACTAAAAAAAAATAGTAATAAAAGAATATAATTATAGTCGATTGTTTAATGAGGGCTTCTTTTACAGAGTTCTAACCTTTCTAGATGAATATTGACGTATAATAATAGACGGGAAATTAGAATTTTCGAATGAAAAAAAAACAAGATATTATGAATGATACTCAATGAATGACTATGATTGGCAATAATTCTTAAGTAAAAAAAATCGCGGAAACTGATTAAATTTGATCTTTCTCGGAAAAGTCCATTAAAACAGCTAATATTAGATTAATTTCGCGAAAATACTCAATTAAAACAGATTTTCGGATGCACTAATCAATTAAAATCTATTTTTATCAGAAAAATCTATATAAATCATAAGAAATTAAATCCAGTTTATTCAATTCCTTGAATAATCAATTAAAATCTTTTTTATCTGATCTTCTCGGTGTGTAACAGAGGTGTCCACAGGGCCAATTTTATTGCCCTGCCCTGCCCTGCTTTTTATCGTAACTCGCCCTGCCCTGGCAGGGCAAAATCGTTTTCAAATAATTTGTGTTCTGCCCTGCTCTGCCATTTTGGCACCGTGGTCCTGCCCTGTCATTTTGGCACCGTGGCCCTGCCCTGTCATTTTGGCACCGTGGCCCTGCTCTGCCCTGCCCTGCTAATTAAGAAGATTTTTTTTCGTATTTAAATTCAAGTTTAAGTAATCTTTTTTATTTGAGAAATAGTTCAATAAATAGATAAATGATCAGCAAATAATAAATTAGCGCTAATTGAAAAAGTGTGTATGATGATATTGCATCATCACTGATGATCCATCAGTAGATTGGCTTGCCCACGTAACCCGCTACTTCGCTGATCCAGTTTTAAGAATGTTTTGTTTCGATATAAACAGATCTCAGCGTATTTTCTGGTACAATTTTTTTACACTGGTTGTGAATTTGGACTTTTTTCTTAAAAAAAATTGGGTTTTGGCATCGAAAATTAAGTTTTCATAAATTGTATTTTCAATTTTGTAACCAAGAAAATTAAAACGAAAATGCAGAGTAATATTGTTACAGTCATGTGTTTATTCCTTGACTCATCGACGTTTGTATACTCATTTCCTGACACATATTCCCCCTATATATACTCCTCTTTCTTCAATGATAAAGTTAGTTCCATCCTTATGGTACTCATTCGTTATTAACATCAAGAAGGCGCAGGGATCTCTAATAAATATACCATTCGATGCAGAATTTGATTCTTTACAAAGTGGCCTGTTAATTGTTTACTCACATTCTTCAGGACAACTTCTAAGCGCTTGTACAGTTTCTAACTTACTATACAATTATTGAACTCGTATTTTGGATGTAGCAACTAGATTTTTTTACAGAAGGATATGCATGACAGTGATCAACATATAAACATTGAGTATTTTTAAGCATGTTAAGTGCTTCAAATTCGGTCGACAAAAAAACGTGTCACAGCGTTATGTTTGGTTTTTGCATTTTTAATCTGAGCGAAAATAGTTTAGAAAAAATACTTTTTACTGCTTGGAAGCCCATTCAATTCTCTACAAAAACGGTACTATAAGCATTTCATTTGAAGAAATGATTTGGCAAGAAATTAGAGCTTTATAAGCAAACCTAGAAAAAAGGGTCCTTTTTTGTCAGTGTTACGCGATGATAAAACCTTTCTAGAAGCGCGAGAATTCAGTCGAACTAGGCCACTCTTTCAACCTTAATAGATTATGATAAGCTGCGTCGAATGACGTTTGAACGACCTTATTAGCTCTTATACCTTTCGAGATAATTGCAAAACTATTTGTCAAAATATCACAGCATTACGTTTGGACAAGGCGAGATGTATTTAACGAAGAGAGAATAGAAACTTCATTTTCATCACCAGGAGAGATAGATGAAATATCAGCACATGAATCTGTCGACGATGATAGCGATGCATAGTTTTATTTTTAATAGTTTTATTAAAATAATGAGAACATCAGCAACTATTACAATTATATTTTAAATATATGTGCACTATTATCACTATTATGATTAATTTATTATTTTCTTTTGTTTTCTTACAGACTTGATTGGACCTTATACGGTCATCATACAAACACAAATATAGCAATCTATTTACCATTCTATAGCGATATCTGGATAGTTTTAGCTTCTTTCACGTTCCCGAGAAGAATAAAATTGCTGTTATTTTCGAATTAAAGTAAGTATATGCAAAATTTGCAGGGCGTTAAGGTATAGCCCTGCCCTGCCCTGTGGACACCTCTGCCACACCAGCGCCACATTTTATTATCAAAATTGTAAACAAAATCAATTTTGTCACGATTTCAACTGCTGGAATTGTATAAAAAAGACGATTTATAAGAATTCGACTCTGCGTTCTCATTTCAATCAAAACCTCTGAGTTTCCATTACTAGAACAAAAAAAAGAGAACTCATCGGAGAGGACCAAATGAAAATATCATAATTTCTTTTTCTGTGGAGTTTTACAATATCGTGAATATTTTGAAGCTTATTAACATTCGTATTCCATAGATATTCGGCTACGTGAAATTTTTGTTAGTTCTCGTTTTTCGACCGTAAGAACAGGTTAATTGATTGAGCTCAATGATCTACTGTCATCAAGAAGAGACCTTCATGCTTTATTTCAACAATAGTTATATTCAGGGTGTGCACTTCCCAATGAAATATTTTTCTTAGTATTCAAGAGTGAGTGGGTACATAACTTTTCGGAGTATATTTTCGATTCGAACATCGTAGCTTTTCAAATGTTAAAACTTGTAATGATAGTGACGACATCTGACCTGCAAATATAAGCGGCATCACAAACTTCAAAGCCAGGCCATTATCCTGTTTTCCCATGAAAGTACATTCATGCCACATTACATCTGTCATAGACAGTGAGAACAGTTACAGTGAGAATTCAGAAAGGCATGTACATTTCTATTTTTACGCATAAACGAATAATAAGGATACTGTGAAAATTTTCTCTCTTAGCGAACTTTTTTTGCTCTTTCACACAAAAGAGTTTGAATTTAAAAACAAATCAAAATTTTATTAATTATTTGCCAATTATTCTTAATTCTTAATTAACTTGAATACAAGTATAAGTACTTGTTGCCAAAATGTAGCACATTCATTTCTGCGTCGAATGGTGTATAGAACATCTCTCAAATGTTGTGAAATAACGTAAAAATTAGCCAAATACTAACAGTGTCTTAAACTTTTCCACTTATTTTATATTACAGTGTTTAGTATTTTGACTATAACACCGTCATTACTCAGTGCAAATCAGAAAATTTGTCTACTAAATGGTCAGCGAAGAAAGCTGAACAAAGTTCCATATGAGAAAATTTTCAGAGCATCCCTATTATTTGTTTATGCGTAAAAGCAAAAATTTACATGCTTTTTTGAGTCCTCACAGTAGCATGATAATTGCAAATAAAACATCTAATTGCCAATAATGTGTGTCTATACAATGTATCAAGTTCATTTTTATAAAAATCATGCAATGACAGTAGTGTTTCTGAATACTTATTATTCATGCATTAGTTTCAGGCATGACAATAACTCAAAGCGTCTACTTTTATTTTTTTCTAATAACATTTTTGTTATACAATCTATGCGAAGATAATGATGACATATGCATTAAAAAACAGTGAATGTAATGATGAAAAAATTAATTGAAACTATGTGAGTCACACCTGCAAAGCTAATCAGCAATTAAATGAGAGAGAAAAATAATTAACAGTACTGTGCAGTATATATGCCGGAGACTAATGCACTTTGTTTTCACTTATTAACATTCATTGCTCCTGTCTCACAGCAACAACAACGATATGAACAAGTTGTTGTTTTTCGTGACATTACCACTATTAGTCCTTATATTCTTCATCTTTAAACAAAGTGGTGCTGCAGTAGCGTTTGCTTCTGAAGCTACTGCTTCCTCGACCGGGAATGGGGGAAAATGCGGAAACGTATGTTGTTACCAGTGCTTACAAAAAAGTCTTTTTTTCTATTTGATTAAATATTTGTTTGCTAGATTTGTTACAATTCGCATGCGACGAGTCAAGAGAAATTGTACGAATGCTGAAGGTGGTAAATGTTTGGGTAGAAGTAATCATCTATTAAACAAAGTCAGAAGTAGTCATCTATTAAACAAAGTCAGAAGTAGTCATCTATTAAACAAAGTCAGAAGTAGAAAACGATCAGTTGCATCAACAACAACAAATGATACATTGATTGATGTAGGCTGGGGGGTAAGTGATTATTAATTTTTCCCTAATACGATAGAAAATAGTGCATTGTTTTCCATTTACAGTCATATTGGATGGGATTAATTACAATTGGTACGCCAGGTCAAACGTTCGATGTTGACATTGATACTGGATCATCTGATCTATGGATACCAGGCGTACAGTGTGGAACTCCGTGCGGTAAGATATAGTTTCTTGTCAAGTAAACTATAGAAATTTCTCGACCTTGATGATAGGGGCCAATCATACATTTAATAGTAGCTTGTCATCAACATATACCGCATTGAATAAACCATTCTCTATTCAATATGGTGATGGATCCAATGTAGCTGGAATATTCGGCAACGATACAGTCTGTGTAAGAAATAATTGTTGAGTTGACTTCATTAGGAAACAACGGCATTGTCTTGTATTTGAACTACTTTACAGATTGGTGGCATATGTATCGCTAATCAAACTTTTGCCATAGCAACATCAGCTAATGGTATGAGTACGCAAGTAAATGACGGACTTCTCGGTATGGGATATCAAAATATTGCCACTGGTGGTGAAATGCCCGTAGTATGGTCAATGTACTTGGCTGGCCAACTCAGCCTTCCTATTTTCGCCTTTTGGGTCGCGCCGTAAGTGCATATTTTTCTAACAGAGTAGTATATTGGCTTAAATATTCTCTTTCTCATTTGATAGAGTATCAACTGGTTCCGATACAGGCGAACTGATCTTAGGTGGTTACGATACAACGAAATATACAGGGTACTTTGCATATGCGAGTGTTACTACGAAATGTTATTGGGAATTCATCGCAGATAGTGTTACATTAACAATTGGATCAACAACAACTACAATAGCTACATCAATTAATGCTATGTTGGATACTGGCACAACATTGGGCATGATTGCATCATCAGCTTATGCTAATGAGATATATTCAATGATAGGCGCTACATACAATGCGGCAATCGGCTGGGTAAGGAAATATTTTTGATCTTAAACACTCAATGTTTTGGTATGAAATCTTGTTATTTTAGTGTTGAAAATTTTAGAGTTTTCAAATGAAAGCGATTTTCCCATATTTTTTTTTCACTTGTGAGAATTTTTTTCAATGATCTCTGGCTCATCTCGTTTTAGTACACAATTAATTGTCACACGCAACCGCTAACAGCATTTCCAAACATAACAGTGACCATTGGCGGCGTTCCATTTACATTAACACCACCGATGTATCTTCGAATTGTGGGTAATCCCAACAACTATTACTGCCTTTGCCTTCTCTCCACAGGTGATTTCTATGATGCTAATAGGCAACCAATTTGGATTCTTGGTGATTTTTTCATGAGGCGCTTCTATAGTGTATTTGATATGTGAAATAATTGTATTGGTTTGGCTCTTTCCACCTCATACTCAGTTGTACAAGCAGTACCCAGTACTTTATTTCCAACAGTTGCAACAACAGCGACTACAACCACAACAACCCATACGACTACCCCTGTCATTATCATGAGCACAAGCACTGCAATAAAAACAACAACAACACCTACCAGTACTACCACTATAAAAACCACCAGCGCTATCACTACTACCACCACTACTACCAAACCAGCCACGACAAGTACTACAGCAACCACTACTACCAAACCTACCACGACAAGTACTACAACAACCACTACTACCAAACCAGCCACGACAAGTACTACAACAACCACCATTACTACCAAACCAACAACTACAGCAACCACCAGCATTACCACTACTACCACCACTACTACCAAACCAACCACGACAGCTACTACAACAACCACTACTACCAAACCAAGCACTACTACCACCACTACTACCAAACCAACCACTACAACAACTACCAGCACTACCACTGCAACCAAAACAACGACAGGTACGTTAAGAAAAATTTGATTCGAATTTTACAACTGTATAGATAAAAAGTAAGTGCACATTCTATTTTCAATTTAGTTACTACTACTGCAGCACTGCCATCACTATGAGTGCAATGCACGTGCATGAAAGTTATGAAGAAGATGACTTGTCGGAAAAAAAACTGACGATTTCTTTTATCGCTGTATACTAACCATTCAATTTTTAATATCTTTTTTTAATCAAGAATAAAGAATCTCCTATTTGAAATCTGAACGATGTTAGATGTAAAATAACATTAAGAGCAGGCTTTCGGGACTTTACAATTTGTTCACGGGAACAGATATACTAAGTGCTATGGATTGCTGACGGGTTTGATATTGGACTCAAATGATATGGAAATTATGCCACATCAACAGTTCAATGCAAGATGAGAATGCTAGTGGAGAGAATATCTATACAATAACCACATGGTTGCACGACTTTCATTCAAACGGGATTACTCAATTGAATTTCTTATTTTAACCGATGAACATTCGATGAGACTGATGTATCATTAACTCGAACGCTTGTTGAAAGACCGAGTATTACTTGAAGGCTATGATTTAGAGTTTATGGAGATGTTGGGAAAATGTAATAATAGTTGAAAGTTCTATTTGATGGCATCATATTTGTGACGTGTGAACAATAATGATCACGGGAAATTTAATTCATAAAAATTTATTTATGATTTACAACAAGTAATCTTGCATAATATAGCCAATAGATCATAGTTACCTCGTTTATGGCTGAGAGGAACGAGAACTAGCTATTGATTATTATACTTGTATCCTCTGTTATATGTATAATTTATAGACAGATAAACTTACAAAATTCGTCGTGTTCAGTAGAGTAACTTTATTAAATACTAACGATAATTCTTTTTGCACCCTACTGTACATCATCAGACAAACGTTATCGACTTATTCTCTCAGGCAGTAGAAATTTTTTTAGCTGTAAGTTATTGATTATATTGGAAAAGAAATTGCTGTTTGTGAGCGTAACTTTTTATCTTACCACTAGTTTAGCATGTGTGCTAGGTGCTGATATGATTGATTTGGTAAAAAACGACATTTTGAAGAATAACTCGGCCGTTCGTGTTAACCAGGTGTATATTTGCAGTACTGGCGTAAAGGGTGACCGGTACTTGCCATTAATGGAACATAAACTTTGGCATGTGAATCTATTTTGTTTTAGAGTAATTTTAATTATTCGCGATATAACAGTGGTGTTAAGCGATTGAGAAAAGATTGGCGATCCTTTTCAACTCGGTACGTGCCATATACGCTCTGCTATCTGGATTTGAAATGAAATAAAGCAATTTGAATTGTTTGGTAGCAGTGATTTTGTTTGTATATTTCCAGAAAATCATGATAGTACTCAACGAACTGCTATTTCATTCAGTAAGNGTAAAATTGAATTTCTGAACTTCAGAATCTACTTAGATCGTCAAAAAGGACATATTCTTGTTCAGTTTGAAAAACTGAATCAGAAAATATCTTAAAAATTGCTTTTGACCTAAAGCGTTACCCGCCAGAGTCTCTAGAAGCGAGATTTTCAAAGCCCAAAAACTAATTTTTAAAAACCTTTCAAAAACGTTTTCTGATGTGCTAGAATCGATTTCTTTGCATGGTTCGATTCGCCAGAAGCTTCTCTTCAAAAGTATACGGGTAGTTTTTCGAAATTGTGTTCGTTCGTGGAGGAAATTGGGCTTTACCTAAAACTATACGAAATCCTAAAAATCCGTTTTCAGAATTTTTGGAAGCTTCGCCAATAATACAATCAAGATAACACCGAATAGATTAAAAACGATGGAGACACTACGAAAGCCTCCATGTGGCTTTTAAACGGTTTTTGAAGGGTTTTTCAGGTATGTACATGGGAGAAATGGCTCATGAGCGTAATTTTTCATGTGAGGTGTGCTATTCTCAGGAAAATTAGACTTTTTTCCCCTCTGTATGAATGCTGCCACAACGAAATGAACATTTGAAGGGTTTGGGTGTGACTGTGGCTTTTGCTGCGACTGTGCGTATAAGTATAGATATAGACTGGGTGAAGGCGTGGGCGTGAGTGTGGGCGTGAACTTCAGTGTGGCTGTGGATTGGTCTCTAGGTGCGGGATGTGACTGTGGCTATTGTGTGGGTGTAGGGTATGGATGTGATGACAAAAATACACCTGCATCCACACCCAAACGGTGTTAGGCTATGTTACCGACTTATAATTCAGCCAATTTTTTTCTTGTTGGAAAGAGCGAAGTCTGAACTACAAATTTTTTACAAATTCTTTGATAAGGACGAATCTGGAAATGTAGAAAAGTCAAAAAGGAAACGTCTATAAAAGAAGTTCTTGCAACTTGCAAAAATCTGTATTTCTGACAAATTTCAGACTACATGAATCGAATTTTAACAAAAAATACACCAAAATGTAGAGCATCAAAAACTCTATCGATATCAGCTTTGTTGAAAATTTCAGATCTATTTGAATAAAAAAAATTGAAAAGCGAAATTTTTGTAAAATCGATCTTCTTGGAAGAACTATCACTTTGGAAGAATATCAGCAATTATCTTCAGCAACCATTCATGAACCCAATTTTTTTCGCGCTTTTTGTTCGAAATATATCAGCTCTTAGAAAGTTAACAGAAAAATAGCTCAACAAATTTTTTTACTGTTAAGAAATTGCTAGGTTGTCAGAATGACCAAACGTTTTCCGTCTATTTCGAAAAAAGCAATATTTTAGTATACAACAAAAGAACAAATTTAACCTCCAATACACCATTGAAAAGAGCATCCTTTATACTATAAAAATCATCAATGAACGTGATTTTCCCATTCTCGTTCGCTATTAAAAAAATCAAAAAAAATAGAAAATGATGTTGTTGGCTGGTGAAGGGTGTGGGTGTGGGGTGTGGCTTTGCAGGGTATTTGTTAAGGTAAGATCCACCCCGACCCCACACCCGCACCCATTTACCAGCTTCGTTGGTGAAGAGAAAGAAGCGAAGTGAATGAAAGTAGAGAGAAATGATGAATAAAAAGTGGAACTCGAAATTGATAGTAAGAACCTCTGACTGTTAGACAAGATATTCGGTTGCCAATGTTTGGAATAATGTATTGATTGAAGTAATCGAATTGACTTTTGGAAAACTTGCTCATATTTATTGACAATGTTTTGACATTCCTACATGGTTGTTTTCGGCTAATGTGTTCCTCACGAGCTGTGGAAAAATAATTTCAAAAATGTTTTCTACAATACTGAATCTACTTCAAGGCACATGCAAGTGTGCCGTTGAATGCATTCACTTTCGTTTGTGGGCGAGAGTATTTTGACGGCACATAGCTACTTCTGTGATGTTAGCTGAGGACACTAATGAACAGTCTTCGCAGTAGTCTCAAGGTCAGTCATATAGAGGTACCCATATGCCCTTTATATCCTCCACTACGAAAACCGTGATCGAAGACCGTCAATGAAATTTGTCATTCAGTTTTTTATCCTGGGGAGAAAGTAAAGAGTAAACTAAAGTCTAGCTATTGCAGCATTTATTCGTTGAAACAGTAAAATGACGCTGCTGAGGCAACCAAACAGGCATGAAAACTGTAGGTGAGTCCACAGTCACAGATCCTGATACACTCTACCCAGTCTGGTGGATTCCGCTGTAGTTACATTGAATAGTGCACAACCGTAGTAGTCCTTGTCTGTTATATCGGTACGAGTAGCGAACCAAGCGTAGCGCTCCAACAGTGGCGCCCGATTCGCCATCAGAGGAATCACCAACTGTGCAAACCTCATATTTTCCTCCTCCGAGTGATCCATACAGTCGAATTCGGTGAGCCGGATGGGCAACCCGAAGGACGACCAGTTGTTGATATGTGCAAAGAAGGCTTCTACATCGCAGGTGTTGTAGTAGTGCACGGCGAGGATGTCAATTCTGCACTGCACGCACTCGTTCATGAACTGTAAGAGCCACTGCTATCCGCGTGGAGTGGAGCTGGGCGCGGGAGAGGAGATCTTCATTCGAGGATCCACTCCGCGCTCGATCACCGGCCAGAGACTGACAGCGAGCTCGACGGACACGTCAGTCTGCCAGTCTGGCTCGTTAAAGATGAGCAGAACGGGTGCGCCGGTGCTGTTGGCTTGGGGTAACTGGGAGATAAAAATGTCGCTCCGGATCATCGGGATGAATTGAGCTATAGGAATTTGGGTGCAATTAGACGTTGGCAGCCAATTGTAGTACCAGGAGATGTTGAGGCGATCCATTTCGCCGCAGTGATCATACGGGCTCGTGGAGCCGACGCCTTTTAATGGTTTTGTCTGAACGTGCGAGAAGGTGACAATAAGTTTAAGAAGGAGCAGTATGAGAAAAAGAGATCTGTTCATTGTTGATATTGGATTCAGTAGATATTCGCTTTGTCAATTGGTTGAGAACTCGTTCGAAATGATGTCTTGCAACTATTGTGTTCTTTCTAATTATTCTGCATCTGTAATTTTGGAGCATGAAAAACTAAGGACACATTCTGTTATCTTTCATGTAATACAGAGTCGCCAAATATAGAAGACTTTTTCTTGAGGCCACATAAGAGGAAAGAAAAAGAATGTTTACTGATATTGTTTGTGATGTCTTCTTCGTCGCTTTTTCGTTTGTTTTTTGAAGACAAGATGTCAGTTGTCCACTCATTTTATCGATATTGCCGTACGACGGTAACGTTGGAGCAACATGCAGAGACCGGTCGATAGGTGTCCACCTTGTTTTCAGATTTCGACTTTGTCCGCTTTTTTTTCTTTAAATAAATACCATATACGACTAGCATTAGTTTGACGTAAAATTCAATGAAACCGATACTAGTTTCTTTTAATGTTGTTCAGAAATAATTACTGTACCATTACAATAGAAAACACGACACTGATTAGGGAGGCAACGGTGACGGTGAATTACGTTTCACCGGTTCATACCGGTAACCAGTTCCAATCCGTATACACTGGCGCTAGCCAGTATTCTCTTAATGCTGCCGGTATAAACAAATATAAGGAGAATCCTGTCAATATAAAACGGTGTGGGTGTGGGTGTGGGTATGGGTGTGGGCGTGGGCGTGGCTGGGTGAGGGTGTGCATCTTCCCTTTAATAATAAACTCACACCCACACACCCCACACCCTCACCCTCACCCCACACCCACACCCACCCTGTCACCACCCTTGGTACAGATGTTGGTCATACTACTCCATCACTCCAGCTGTAAAACTACTTCACAATATAGCAATAGCTTATACAGGAAAGAGAGAACAGCAGACACGCAAAGAAGAACGATCATACAGAGAGAATAAGAATAATAAAAAGGCTAAGGGAAAGACAGACACGACGATCCAGTATTCATCACACTGCCAAACATGTACAAAGATCAGACAATGCGCCTGGTAGAAATGCTTCAATTATTGACATAGGTGCTTCACTTGAAATTTAATAACATGCGAAGAAAATTAAATTATGCTGAAGCAAGCGTGAAGTACTGCTGGTCTATAAACGAAGTCCCGCTTTTTCTCCCTTCGGTAGCTCTCAGTTCTATAAATAAAATCTTTTTTGATTAAGTGCAACGATCAGTTCTTTTCTCAAAGATTGGGTTCTTGAACACCGGCTTCTCTCACTTCCATTAGTTTCTGATAACTTCATTTCAGCATACCTATGCAATTTAGTCACATAACCTGCAAGAGCTAAAATGATATGTTTAGTGGCACAAGTTCTTTTGAAAAGAATTGATGATTAGTTCCATTCCTTAATCGGAAGCTATCACACGTCCGAACGTGTGACGTGTTGTATTCGTAACAAGACGATTAGCAATTTTTTACGACTTCATCATCAATTTGTGAAAATCTCTTCATGTTTTTGTAAAAGTTCATTTAAACCATGGGATAAGACAAAATTATCGTTCCGTGGTCCAGATCATGGATGGGAATATGAAGACGCAGAAGTTGACTCCTATGGTGAAAGAGGATGAGATGACATGTCAGTCCATTCCATTCCCGTTTGGGGTATCACTCCATGGGTGCCCAAGTGAACATCTCTGATATATCACTGATATAATATCAAGTTACGCATGTTTTTTGTTCATGAAAATGGTTAATAAATTTAAAAAACCGGTAACACTATGAATCTTTCGTACATTTAACTGAGAAAAATAGACACTTATAGTATTATCAACTTTTACTCATGTAAAATTTCATCAGATTAATAATCGTGTAAATTTGTTATTGTAGCAAATTTAGTACGCACATATAACCGACTTTGGACATGAGAAAGTGAAGCTCCCTACAGAAATCATGTTCTAGAACAATTAAAATTGCACTTATCTCATCCATTCACATCTAAAAAATGCGGTCAGTTCAACAGAAGTAAAATTAAATCTAGATTAGAAAAATTTGAACAGTAAAAAGCAATAATTGTTTATTCATAGATATTTGTCTTAGTTTATGAAATATGATACACAAATAGCTTTTGATTTCAGTCCATTCTTTATTTTAAAATATTAAAAATATTCATCTCAGCTATCATTGACGTTAAAGTGTTAAATTTTCTTTCGTTATTCATATTTTCTATTTAATATCATTGTTAAACTTCCTTTACAAACCAAGCAATCCGATAAAGATTCATTGTATGAGTGTAGTTTATTTTTGCGCTAACTATTTTATTCGTTTCTCATCTAAGAACATGAAAGAAAACGTTAGAAAGATTTTTATCTATGTTAATATGAGTTCTAATGGCTCGTATTTAATAGTTTAAGGAGACGAAAAGATATTGATTGCAATAGTATATTCATTTCAGCGAATAAATGTCGAAGATAAAAGTACAACAAAGAGAAAAAGCTGTTAACGCAATTTTTAGGGGATTAAACATGTGAAACACGATCCAGTTATTATTGCTAGTTACAAGGAGATTGTTTTATTCTATGTATCTAGGAACATCAGGGGCGTAACTCGGCCTCTAAGGCAGGAGGGTGGGGGCGCCGACCCGCAATACGTCAAAATCTCGAAGCAGGAGGGCGTAACGTGTTTATTCATTCGGATTCGTCACTAAAATACTCGTAAAAATGCTATTTCTTCGTTTTTTTGACCAAAAAGAGCAAAATTTTCAAAAGCAGGGGGCGTCGCGGGCCCCCCCCCCCTATTTACACACCTGAGAAACACAATTCTTTATTTCTCCTTTTGCTTAAACCTCCAAAATTATCGTAGGTAGTTAAAAAAGACTGTGGCGTTCTGTTATTGATATATCGTTTATGATCGTCTACTAACACTTTTAAAGATCTCTGACCATTTCTAAACCTTTTATTACAATCTGTGATGTTCATTAGTTAATTCAAATGTCAGCCACGATCTATGGAGAAAAGTGAGTCCACATTTTTACCGTATACACTTCAACATTCCTTTTAGATCGTGTTTCACAAAAATAATTATAATAGTCATCAACACTAAGGCAACGATTTCAAGTTATGAAAAGTCCATTCATTTCGTATATCTTTATATGGTTTGATATGACTGAATAGAATCAATTATTGTTGATAATTCTACTTTCGATGAAGCGTCGCTATTCACTTATAGTCTATTCTCAAGCAGGAATAAATCATTGACTTCTTATCAAATCACCAGCATGCTAATGTACTTAGGTCTCAAACAGACTGCACGATGAAAAACTAATTCAAGCTATATCAAGCAATGTGAATGATGCATTAAGAGTTAAATCATCTCTGAATATTACTTAAATTTGAATATACCAATCACATTGCTCAATTTAACTTGAATTTATTTTTTATCGTGTAGTCTGTTCGAGGCCTTAATGGCGATAATCGTTTTGACACTTTTTACACGGCTCTCGTTAACATCAATTATGTTGCTGGGTAGGAGATATTTTGTCTAATTAAGTCATCTTTTTTAGGCTCTGTCGTATGTCCAAACAAAAGCCACTATAGTTGATATGTGTTTGGATTGTTGAATTTGTGTCGATTATTTCTAGATATCAATACTTCCTTTAAAAAAAACTAAAAATGCAGTTCGATAGAAAACAATTGTCTATATCAATTAATATTAATCTCACATTCAACTCGTTGCAAAATTTAGAGGACGCCACACGTATATATTTGATATTGACTCACTCAACTATGTTTTTTTCGTTCTGTCGGCACACTATTATGAACAGACTTGACTATGACCAATGATCATAATATTCAACATTGACCTGCTGAATATTTTCATTATTGACGACGTCCGGTATGATATAGAATGAACATATATAAACAATTGTATTCATAATATTTGTCATTTATAATTGAACATGAACCATTCAACTGTTAATATTCTTGCTCTATGCGACGAGATGGTGCTTGCCATTTTGAACAAACTCAATAGTATGGATGTATTATATTCACTCATAGGAGTCAATAAAAAACTAGACAGTTTGGTACGGGACATTACTTTTACTCAATCTATTGACTTAGTAACAATATCATCAAATGAACATAATGACTCAAGAAATAAGTCAATACTCGATCGATTTTGTTTTGATATAATACCTCGAATTCAACACAATATTGAAAGTCTTACTCTTGATCCATTGTCAATAGATCGTGTTCTTTGTATTGGAAATTATTCTAAACTCCATAAAGTCGCTCTTGTTAATGTTCAATTTGAAATAGCATCTCGTATTTTCAATAGTATGCTATCTATTCTCTTAGTCTCTAAATAAAGAGAAACTGATCCGATTATTTATTTGTTCTATACATTTAGACGAATCATCATTTGTTCACAATTTCAAACATCAGATTTTGGATCTTACTGTTACGATCAATGCAGACAGAACAGGTGAACATATATGTAAATTATTCACCAATGTCTTTACCACTATTTTTATAATGTTTACGAATTTAATTTATCTTGATTTCCGTTCGATCAATGATTGCTTGTCTTCACCAAGGTCACTTAATAAGTTCCTATCTCCAACAAGTTATTCGTCAAATATTGTTCATTTGACTGTTAGGGTGTACAATTTTAATGATTGTCTTTGTTTACTTGATGGAGATCTTAGTCAATTACATACATTTATTGTGCAAGTTGATACAATTTATAACACATCAATGATTATTAATATTATGGTAAAATCTTTTAAAACACATGAACGTACTTTCATATCGACTTTTGACAGAGTATAAAACCCTTTGTATGATAAATAATCGATTACTAAAGAATAGTATGAATAAATTTAAAAACACGTAATTTATTTAAGTATGTTACTATACAATAAACATCATTAAAGATAATATATGATTTAAGAATCGGATGAGAACGAAAGTATTAAGTGATTGATTATTGATTTTATTTTTATTATGAGACTTTTTCTAGTGTCTACGTTGAATGTTGTTGAACGTCGTCTTTAGTTACTTTCTAATCGTTTGTTCACATATAGATCGAACAGTTTTACAAAGAATATAACTTGATAAATGCTTGTATAAGGATAGATTATTTTCATTTTTCTTTATAGTTTTTTGAAGTTTGAAACTCGCTTTTCAACCAAAGAAAGGATTATGTCATTGTTAATAGTATTAAAAACTAGGCATTCTATTAATATTATAGACATCGAAGAAATTTATTAAATCAAGAAGTCATGTATTGAACAATAAGAAAATATTTCTTTAATAATTAAAAGCTAAAACTTTCATATTAAAATGAATCATTTTAGAGACGAGAATCTCTTTTCAATTTTATTATTTTTCTATGAAAAGATTAAGAACCATTTTGTTAAATGAGTACATTTTATCACGTATTTTATATATTTAATAATTGATGGACAACAGAGATTATGCTTAAGATCCTAAATATTTGATTACCTGATGGTAAGATTTGCACTAGCTTAAATAATCAACTTAATATCATTTTATATTTATATTAATTTTGTTTTAGAAAACGGTTTCCACTCTAAAACATTTCTCGTTGACTTCATATCGTCGCACAAGAGAATATGACAACAAAATTTTGCCATTGCTTCGTCAAATGTTACAACTAGAAAAACTTACATTATCCCTCCGTGTCTGTAGTCGTACGTCTTTAATTGATGGCACTCATTTGCTTAATGATATTCTTAGCGAAATGTCACATCTACATACATTTATTTTCAACATTATTACTCAAAGTACCATGATGAACGAAGAACTTTTACCAACACCTGATGATGTTAGTCGTCCGCTCATACAAAGAGGATATAATGTTGGATGCTATACTGATTTTTGTCAAATGGAAATGTGCCAATGCCATATTTACTCGCTTCCGTTTACTATGGAACGTATGGACACGTTGAGTAATAAATTTCCTGGTGGGTTATTTATGACTGTTCGTCACTTAGTGACTCAGCATTTATTTCGTCCATTCGAACATGATTTTTTTGTTCGAATCTCTCATGCTTTTCCATTACTGAATAAATTGATACTAATGAATAAAAATGAACAAGAGGAAAAGTTAACATATCAGAAAAATGAACATGAACAAACATCTTCGATTATTGAATTTTCTCATCTTATGATACTTAATTTCACTATATCTGCTCTCGACTATGCGGAACAGTTTCTTTCCGACGTCATCGCACGTCTGCCGTGTCTTAACACATTATGTATCAAATATATAGACTTGGTATGTGTAACGCAGAATTTCAGAAATAATGCTGCTCGTGCTAATTGTTCAAAATTACAGCATACTATCTTCGATTCACCACCAACGACATACCCAGAAAATTTTTACCATTATTTTCCTTTGTTGTGTTCTAAATAAAATTTCCTCTTTATCTAATCGTAATATTTTGTTTATATATCAATATATATATATCAATAAAAAAAATCAAAGCGATCTTGTTATTTCGGGTTATCTAAGCGAGTCGGCGACGGAGTGTGGGTGTGGCTTGGTTCGGCTTAATCTATTGCTCACACATGGGGTGCGGTGTGGGAATGGGTGTGACAGTGTGGGTGTACCAAAGGAATTCACATACCCACACCCAAGATTTTTTCTGATTTTCCTGAATTTCATTTCTGCTATTTCAAACGCCCTAGTTCGTTCTCATATGAATGCCCGAATTATTACTATTGATATGACCAAGCCGGCCAGATCTTCTGATTTTTCAGAAATTTTCTGATTTTGAACACTTTTCTGATTGCTTTCGGTTTTCTGATTTTGATGGGGGAATTTTCTGATCATTTTCTGATTTTTGAATTTTTTTTCTGATTTTGAAGTTTTTCATCTGGCCACCCTGGATGTGGGTGCTTTTGCCGTCATACCCGTACTATTCACATCCAGACTCTCGATTGCATCACTTCGTCGAAAGTGAACTTTTCAAAATATTTTCATCAAAAGCCTATTTCAAGTTGTTTCTTAAGCAATGCTACTCACTCATTAATTCCAGATAGGAAGTTACCATGACATTCTTAAAAGCCCTCGAAACCTTCTACGATTCCTAATTTCGTTCAATGCAATCCAATACGAAAATGAACACCTACACTAGAATTGATATTCTATTGACAATAAAGTTGCTTCTCCTAACGCGTCGTCTGTAAATAACATTATAATGATCGTCGCACTTCCATTGAGAAAGTCAACCATCGATTAAGGATTTTTCATATGAGCTACTTTCAAATTAATCGAAAAGCACTCGCCTAAATATTTCCTATCTTCAATAGTTCATCTCAACTGCTTGTATTTATTATTTGAGAAGTTCTTTTCTTTTTCGATCAAACATCTTCATAAACATATGTTTATTGATTTTCAACAAAGTTCAAATCTTAGATGATGCTCGCTCGTCGGACATAGTGTTACACTAAAAGACGTGAAAAAACAGAAAATAAAGTATTCAAGTTAATATGATCGGTTACCTCTTATGTCGTTCGATATCGAAGATAATGACTTGCCGAATTGGTTGATACATTTGATTGGGGATCGTTTTCACAGTGATTGATACAGGCTCAACATTCTGAAGTGATCCATTGAAAGACAGGACTCGAGTGTAAACGCTGTTAGATTTGAGCAACATGATGATTTGTCTAACATAAAATCGAAGAGTCGGAACATATATCCAACGAAAACAAACTTACTGATCGAAGGGCAAAGAAAAAGAACTCTGATTTTATTCTTGATAAGTCAATTGAATACGACCGATCATTTGTATTTTCTCATTTCCCACATTCAATGTTACAGCGTAGAGGTGCTCTAAATCAATGCTCTTCAAATGAAACAATTGTGTGTGATTACCTGCGACAGTACGGATATCTATTTGCATCTTGTGTCGACAAATAGAATGATACTTGAGGAAATGATGAAGCGTGGAGACCCATTCGATTGATTGCATTTCGACTACATTCATCTGTCTGTGTTAATTTCTCCATCGAAGAACAAGCGATAGAGACATATGAACAATTCGAATTTCGAATGGAATCAGTAAATGTATACACTGAGAACAAGTGACTACATAACACTGTATCAACAAAACCTAAATAAACCATTTGAACTTTGCCTAAACTCTCTTCATTGAAAAAATATTAATAATTATTATTCATTACACATATTTATATTGTTCATTAAAATAAATCTCTATCAATTGGTTATTAGTATCAAAAATGTTGGAACGAGGTTTTTTATCTTCCACAAAGAATGATATTTTCTGACTGAAGAAGTATCGAAAACGCCAAATCCTTTGGATTATTTGTCATATCTGTTGGACAGAAAAAATTGAGATATTTGAAATGAATGTTTGAAGAATCTTCCCATAAAGAATATCTAATCGGAGGCTACAATAATTGAAAAGAAAAGATTTCATGTTACCTTCGTTATTCAATGCATTAATAATGGCATTCCAGATTTTTCCAGTCATTTTAGGACACTGAGGTTGTTCAAGACCTCCATTTGGATAGAAATCAACATGACCTAATGGTTGCAAAAGACCGAGACCCAATTGAGCATGACGTTGTCCATCCGTGTGAATGACATCGACAAATTGATCATCAGTGGGATCCAAACGAACAAGAGGATCAGTCCATTCAAAGTAAGGCCCAGCTGGATCAAGACCCGTGATGCGACTTACACGAGGAACAATACGAGATCCTGCATAACCGGCTGCATGTGCACCCAAACTGTGGCCAATTAAGTGAATTAGTTGTGGATCTGCTCCATGATTGGCGATTAACTCATTGATTAACAATGACACTTCAGCGCCAACCATCTGCGTATTAGCTGTTACTTGAGTATACGGAAAATGATTCGTTTTCGACCAATCGACAAAGATCACGTTGCTATCTTCCTAAAAGTTCAAAGAAGAGTTATCGAATCAATATGAGAAATCGATTGACTACCGTATCAAGAAAAGCTTGCCGCATTTGATCGTACCATGGTGCTTGATAATTTTCAATCATTCCATGGATGACTACACGAGTCATGCTGTCTGATCACCACGTACCCAAGTCAAGATTTGTCTTTTGACGACCGATTTCGATTGCATCATGATGTTCTCTGATTACAAAAGCATTTCTCTATTATTTATTTCATCGTTGCTTTCATTTACTCACCGTGTATACAGAAAGAATCGAGTGAGCACGGTCGAGGGCTATACATTAGAAATTCAGTCTTTCGTTTCAATCAAGAAAAAAACGCTTACGGATTGAGGGAAAAGTGCAATTGGTCGTTCCCATGTACCTCCTAACAAACGCATGGATAATAAAACATGAAGATTAAAATAAAATACAGACCGAATGGAGGTAATGTCGTGAAACAGCCGTATTCATCATAGCACTTATTGAACAGATTCAAAAGACCTTTATCAGAAAAAACATCACTGGATTCACTTTCGACTTCATTTTGCAACACAATTGCAGCCAACAAACATAACAGCACTCCTCTCATCATTGCTGGAATAAAATTCGATTCTGATCGATCTAATCTTCTTATCAATGAAGACAGAAATGCTAATTGCAATTTGATACTTTAAACTTTAATGCCAAATTAAATGGAATTGAATTAATCCTATCAGCAAGCCGTCCAAAAACATTTCACATTGAATCAATTAAAAAACAGCGACCAAGAAAACTATTCAAGAACAGAGGTACTTTTATTGGTAATCTTGAATTTAGTCGAGAGCAATGACGTGGGCGTTGGTGAGGTTGTCAGTGTGGATGTGGGAATGGTGGATATCTTTACTTTCATAAACTATGATTTTGGACCTATTTGCTTCTTGAAAACCGTAGCATTTTTGGTTTTCGACATTTTTAATTTTCGACATTTTTATTGTCGACATTTTTACTTTCGACCAAATTCAAGACAATCGTTACAATCAATCATTAGATCTTTTTTTTGCATACTTTTCATTTACCAAATTTAAAATATTGTAAAATTGAATATCAAAGTAAAAGTGATGATGATGAACCAGTTCAACGTTATTCCAGTCCTAGTGAATGTTTGATAATAGACGATCGTTTCCCAATTAATGCATTTCATAATTTATTATGTTGTCTTCCAAAACTTCGACATTTATCAATAAATTGTCTTGTTGATTCTTTTTATTATGTGGAATAATAAGAAGAATTATCTCATATTGAATTAAAATATTTAAAAGCATGTTTCTCTGCAATTTGGTTTTCTATTTTGTTATGACCTTGAAAAGACTATCAAAGAATTTTTTTATCAAGTTAAAATTTTACGTCTTATAATATTTTGTGATCAGAGATTTTTAAATGCTAAACGATGGCAAAAATGGATGATGTCTTACACGCCATATTTACGTATTTTTGATATAAGTCACCAAGATTCTATGAAAAATGATTTAGCATATCATGATATAATTAATCAATTTAATTCTTCGTTTTGGACGGAGAGAAAAATGGTTTTTTACACATAAACATCATCGGAACAACGAATTAAATAGTGGAATCATTTATTCAATCTTTCCATATCGGTAATGTGAGCTGCAATCTGTTTTCATTCGATAGATAGATACAAGGCTATCAAAGTTTATTGAAGAATAATTAGTCAGTAATTCAATAAGCAGACGATCAGTATAGACATTGATGTACTGCAAAGCTGTGTTTATCTCAATTTGAAAGTTAGTTGATAGCAGAGTTTGGGGCACAATCTGATAAAAATGTCAGATTATTTCAGACTTGAAAACAAAAACTATTATCCAATATGGTTTGGATGGTTAATAAGTCTTGTGTAGCTACCTTTTGAATGACGAAACCTGTATATTGTTAACTGATTTGGGGTGTGGGTGTGGGTGTTTAGATCAAGTGTGGTAACTATACCCACACCCACACCCCAGGCTTATCAGTAGTAAAAAGTTGAATAACAACAACCAACAAACGTTGTAGAAAACAATACCAAATTTTAAAACAAGAAAAAAAAGCAATTAGACCAGTGTTTTATCCAGATTTTTCACTCAGGGAGTGCGAATTCAATTGTCGGAAGGGCAAACAAAAGTTTTTTAAGGGGCAAATTACCATGAGTAATATTGAGTCTATTATACTGAGAGCAGTGTCACATATCACGAAAGTTGGAGAAGTATCATCTCCTTTAGAGACGCACATTTCTCGCATCCATACCCAAATCTCTTGCAGTAGATACAACATTGTATAATGAAACGAAAACACTAACTATGACCGATGATAAAAGTATAGCTTCTAATTGATAAGCAGAAAACAATGAGAATTTATGGTTGATGATGACGGTACTAGTACAAGTCGTTGCATGACGTTTTATTCGTACAAAATGATAGAATTGTCAATTTACCGTTTATTTATCTTAATGCAAAATTAGCCCGACTTTAAATAAAATTATGAATAAATATAACTGTTTCTCGTGTGAATATTTAATTTACATTAAATTCGAATAAAATTATTTTTTCAATTGTTTTAATGAGATTCAGCTATTGGCATTTTAAATATATTTAATTTAGGCAGTAATACACAAGAAGTAAGAGGATAATCTAGTATTTAGGGTTCGTGTATGTTCATGAATGTCAAAATATATGAATCAATCATACATGATTTTTGAACTTCAGTCTTCCCATACACTAAAAATATTCAAAAGCTCTTATTCTTTTTTTTTTATCACGATACGTAGACGAAGGAGTATTTTATTTTCTAAAAAACCATGAAGAACATAAAAAATTTGACCTGAAATCATCGCGAGGAATTCATTCGGGCATTCCCAACCATTTGAATGACTCCGGCTGAGTTTTTTCCTCTTGGTGAACTCATCGAAAAAAACAAATCAGCAACAACTGATGAAACTCTTTTATTCGTAAAAATTCGTTCTAATTGATTAATACAAAATCGATGCTAATCACTGCTTAATCATAGCTTCAAAATCGATTCTAGAATTACGTAAGTGTTGATTTTTTTATTGTTTTTTACATGGGAGTCTTATGAAATAATCAAAAAATAGATACATTAGTTTTTGAAAGTTTTAATGAAAGAAAGTCATTTCTGGGAAAAAATTAATGAGAATAGATTTATTCATCAAACTGCGGATTGTCGATCAACATCAGACGAATGCGAGATGTTTGGTGCGGGGCATGGTAAATAGTTTGATTTGCTATGATTGGTTTTTGTAAGTCCGAAGCAATTGGTGCACCAGTATTTGGATTTGCACTGATCCAAGGGAAAAAACTGCTCATAACTGCTAATCGAATACGATGTTGTGGAAGAAATGTATGTCCGATAGCATGCAAATCAATACGAATGAGATAAGTCTGATTGGGCAACATCAATATTTCTTGGTTGACACCATCGCGATAACGTGCGCGAAGCTGACCTGCAGCTTTAGAACCAAGTTTAATCGAACGTCCATCAGTCATCACATCCATTAATTCGATCACAAAATCGGTATCGCATGCCGTGCTCGAGATCATTAGTTCAACAACAATATCACCAACTACCGTAATGGATTTATTCAATAGCTCACTGGTGTAAACAAGAATATCATCGCGATCCAGATATGGGTTAATATCTATAGGAAGACCAATAGATTTATTATTTATACTGCTCATCACTGGTTTGGTGGGGTCATATAGATAAGAATCAGTTGCAGCAGTACTTGGCATGTCCCATTGTAGTCGACCATTCCCTACTATACTGTTGGCGTACCCATTGCTTGCCAAGAATAATGATACCTCGCGAGCTTCCGGCGGTGGAAAAACATTTCGAGTCATCCATCGATCGCTTCCAGTTATGTAAAATTTAACTGGTTTCCAGACAGGCCGCCGATCATCTTTCAAACACCATTCAAAGAATTCATGTGTCATATTTAAACCCGGTAGTAGTGAATTTTTGGCAACAGGAAGGTCTCCAACTGTTCTCATCGCCTTTCCTGTTCGAAAATCGTAGCCACCATCAGGTGCATTGCTGTGTGTGTAAGGACCGATGATAAGAAAGTGATCATCACTTATGGGTGCATAAGAACGTGCTCCTTGGAAACGCCAGATTGTGCCATACATTGTACCATCGAACCAACCGGTGAAAGCAAGCGATGGAATTTTGATACGCGCGAAATCGTAGGGACTGAAATCGATACTGTGCCAGAAATGATCGTATGTTGGATGATCAAGAAACGTCCGGTAAAGTAACAACTTTTTTCCTGTTGCATAGACATCCAATGTTCGAAGCGGCCGATGATTTAACCATGTCATAGGATCAGGATGCGACTGGTTTACTATTAAGACGTTAATATTCAAAGTAAAACCAATCCAATTGATCGCCCAAGCCACTGCAAATGCACCGTCAAAATATGGAATGTCCTGCATTGGACGACCTAGTGTAGCACTAGGTGTGATACATGAGAGATGTGGTGGTTGCTCTCGCGCAATAAACCATTGATTAGTACCAGTATAGGAAGAACCACGCATTCCAATACGTCCATTGGACCATGTTTGACTTGCAATCCATTCGATCAGATCATATCCATCTTGACCTTCACGACTAAAATATGCCATTTCACCATCTGAGTCACCTGTACCACGACAATCAGCGATAACAAACGCATAGCCATGTTTGCGCCAATATGATGCTTCATACCGATAATTGATTCTATCAGGTCCACGTCCATAGGGTGTTAGTTCGAGAATCACTGGGAAACGTCCAGTATTTGATACAACAAGATAATCAACTGCAAGCTCGACACCATCACGCAATCTTACACGTGTTGTTTCGAAAATCACGATGTCATTATCATTAGTGATCGATGGTATGATTGATGTTTCTGAAAAATAAGAGTGAGCAAAACTTTTAATCTAAACAAATAGGCTCTACCTAACTGTGTTGGGTCCAGACAATCGGTGGTTAGTATTTTACCAGTTTCGTGATCAAACAGCTGTAAATGTCTTGTTAAACCAAAAAGCACGAAAAACTCAACAACAAGAATTGAAAAATTGTGTGTCATGTATTGATCTAAATGGAAACATAACCATTTTATCTCGATGAATTGAAATGGAAAGTAGTAGTCGAAAAGAATAGATCTTTTCATTTTATTTTTCTTGTACGAGATAAGTCCAACTGCTTCAACATTAAGTCATAAAAGCAGTTATGATCATCATGTTCTTACGGGTGAAAAAAAAACAGCATTAACCTGATAGATACGAGCTTAACAAATCGACTGACACATAAGTTTTAAAAAATTATCTTCATTTCTTTTTCACTTTTCATATCTAGTTGGTTGAAGAATTCTGCAATTAACCGATAAGCTTTACTTATGTACATGGTATTTTCTCTGCTTGAATGTCGTAGAGATTGGATAACGAAAGAATTAATCCCATAAGATCATATTGAGTAAATACATTCAAATGTCGACGAATTGTTTCGATATATCTCACGAACAGATTCATTTGATCTCGCGCGTATTTATGTCGAGAGAATACAGGTTATACAACATATTTAACTGCAGTTTTCTATTCTACTGTGCAATATAAACGTTTCTATCGAAAATTGTAATGCAACAAATCTCAACACCATGTGTGCTAAATCTTCTTCTAATTATAAACGATATTAAATGGTAATCAACATGTCAAGTACATAAAAAAAACAAATCTTGTTTTCATTTTACAAAATATTAGTATTTTAAACTACGGATGGGAAGTTAGCCAGATTTTACCAAGTAACTGACAATGGAACAATTACCATTATACCAAGGTGATTGTTGACGGAAAAACTATTATTCACTATAAAAAGTAATAATAACTCCTTTCCTTTGCAGCAATGACAAGTAACTGTGGTCAACAGCTGCATCACCAAATCCTTGATACCTATTGTTTGATCATATATTCCGCAAGTTGGAACTTTCTTTCTTTACTTTTTTATTTATCATAAGTTTGCTGCGCAAAATGTGTATTTTGAAAAAAATTATATTCGTTGAATAATAGTAGCGAATGGTTTAAAAGTAGACAGTATTTCATTTTATCTGTTTGCATTCAAAAGGATATCTTTATCCTTCAATAACAATTGAGGAATCGTCGAACAACAGTCCCTGGGACTCTTTATTATTTAATTGGAAGCTTTTATCAGTATTACCTTTTGTATCGCTAATAACAATAAAGATATGCATAGCTTTTGGTCATATCTTCGCTGTAAAACTTGATTGCCGTTATTTTACATGTTATAGTCGTCTTATTGTACAATATTCTCCTCAAAGGTTTTCTCAATTATTGAAATACACATATCAATATACTGTTCGAATTCTCGGGCATTAGTTGACACTATTAATCTTTTTTATACAAATGAATGTTGAAATTGTTCTTGAACAGATTATCTTAAGTGGAAATAGTTCTATTTTCACTTAAAATTTGACTAACTATATAAATAAGACACAACGAATTATTATACTTATTATCAGGTATCGAACCGTGTCCGTGGAATGTATATGATAATGAGAAGCAACACATTTTATTTCGTTTTCATCAATGCCTATTCTGCAAAAGAAAAAATGGTGCATATAGAACCTTTTATGGTTCTAGATTTTTACTATTTTTCTATGAAGTTTATTTACTTATAACTATATTTTATAAAGAAACGATTTCATGTACCTATTGTGCAAATAACGATCTTTACTTTTATTTGAATATAATGTTTCAATCAAAATAGTAATAGCAAACAATTAGAGAAAAAAACAAAAAAAACACGTACAGTCTTTCTAAAAAAACGGATGACATCGATTTTGTCGTTGTACATGTCGTATGTTGCGTGGGTGATAAGGGCTATTTCGTTCACGTTCAGTGGCTTGTAATGTTCGATATTTATAGTATTTGGTCATAATAAAATACAGACAAGCCCAAGACACCAAAGCACTTAATAAAAATAGAGAATAATAGAATACAGATTGCATAATCTTGATAATGATATTTCAAATATGCATCTACCGATTTTGTAGCATCATGCTATTTTTTCTTTTTGATCCCTTGCTCATCTTCACTATTACCGAAGTAAATAATAGTAGCAATGGTACAATATGTGCTGGGTAAAAAAATAGAAAAACAAATCTAAGTAAATAATATGTCGATTGAAATCAAAATATTTACCATAATCTGCTTGTTTGCGTTTTTATTACCCTTTGAACCTCCTAGGTCCTATAGGGACAATATTTACCATATTCTCTTTTGTCACGGCGTGCAAAATATACTTGATTAAATAGTGAACTTTCATAAAATGAAATGAGAGTCCACGAATGAAGACAGACGAAATAGAGAAGTAAAGAAAAATAGAAAAGTAAAGAATAAAGGTCGACCAAATACAGAAGAAAAGAATAAAAAATTATAACGCCGATTACTCGTTCTGTGCATATCCATCGAGGTAATAAAAAATAGAAGAAAAACATCACAATTTTATTTTGATTGATAGGATGACATTATGATAACAAAACATACATATTCCAGGTCTAGAGGGTGTGGGTGTATGCTAGTGTAGAAGATGCCACCCACACCCACACGCACCCACACACCCACACCCACACCCGTCTATAATTTTTATTGGAACGTGCATGTTAAAAATTGCCGTAGTAACACATCCATTGAAACTACGGATAGTAAGAAAAATTTTAAAAGTGAGGAAATACGATTAAGGATGCTAGATTACTGCAAAATATCAAAAATCACACAAAACAAAAATCTGTTATTTTTCTTTGTAATCTTTTACAAAAATCATTGTAAGAATACTCCGTCTTCAGTTTTTGTTGGCTTGTGCTTTAAATGTAATATAGCGCCTATGAGGATCTAAATATTTAATGGTCATTTGAGTTGGGAAAAATCTTTGAATCCTCAAAAATGTTGAGCTCAGTGAATTTTCCCATGACCAAAGTTCCACACTCCACGCTTTTTTCAATACTCTCTCTATGACATTTCCAAAATTTGTTTGACCATAGTTTGCATTTCCATCGCCAGTAACCAAAACAAGAACTTTTTTAGTCCGAGTATCGTTAGAACCTAGAAGTGCATCGTGAATTAGAGCGTGTAACATATTGTCCATGAAGACTTCCTAGGAAACATCATTTTAATATGGTAATTGTCTAAAATACGACTCACTAGGCCGCTCTCCGACCGTTCTCCCACTATACATTTGTAGCCACAAGATTCCCATTCTTTCCAAACACCTGCATTTTTCGGTTGTATACTTCCACCAACAGTACGTGATTTTATATCTGTTCCTAATTTATCATCTTCAAGTACTTTTGCAAGTTTCTTAACATTCACACGAATAGCTGGATCTTTTTCAGTTAATCCAGTATTTTTATTGTATATGCTTTCAGCACCAATAAGCACATTTGAATTATCAATAAAAATACAAAATTCTATTGGTGTATATGGGTCTGGATTAGGTATTTTCTAAAAATAAAAACATTTAAAAGATTTAAAAATTAAAAAAATCAGGCTGTAGAAATACGTCGAAATAGAAACGACACAAAAGGAAAAAGTAGCAGAGGAAACGATCGAAATTTTTCTTAAATGTTAGTAATTAGAATCATAGCCTCAAACCATGGCTATAGGAACAGATTCGACAATCGGAAATGTCGTTTGGATAATCGCGATGTTTTGCAAAAATCGCTGATTCGGGCGTCTCCTCGCGATACAATGGGTCCTATTAATCGCTAGGTTTTAATCGATTTTCATCATAGGAGAATACTGCTGAGTCTATTGAGTTCTAAATATAACGGGTTGCACAAAAGAAATGGCGCGACTTTTGATAGGCTGCTTTTCAAGTTAGACCAGTTCAGAAAGTTGTGTTCTGATATTCAAAGGTAGAGAATTTGTTGTAGATTTTACTGCTATATTCTTTTTAAAACAAACATTTGTCGTTTTCTCTAAGGAGAAAAAAAACTCAATGCTACAAAAATCTCATTAGCTCAACTAGAAGATACGAGTGTTTTGAAAATCAATTATTTTCCAGTAAGATTTTGTTCACTATTTTCTTCGTGGTGGTAAGAGATGTAAAATTTTTCGGTGTATCTAATGGTATGTTAAATAAAAAACAGATTGACTTATCGATATTGAAAAAGAATAAAATCAATCTGCTGTTCTCAGTTCTTGCTTTTCAGCAACCGATTGTTCTGTCAAAGTTGAATGAATTTGTTTTTTTAAAATCAAAATTTTTTTAATATTGTCCTTTGAATAAAAAAATCATAAAAGAAATGCAGAGTTGAATTTGCCGACGCGTTTCGTGTTATTTATTAAAATTTAGAAACACTCATCAGGGCTCTGCATTACAATTTTTAGAAAAGCACATTAAAGATAAAAAATCACATAAAAAATTCAGCAATGGACATTCGAAAAGAATTTCTCATTTTTGAAAACATGAAAAATAGAAAAGAGGCTTTCACAATGAACATTCGAAAGAATCTTTCAGTGTTGAAAAAATTATTGCACCATTAAGAAAGATTGCAAAATTACGAAGAAGAATGAGCAAGATACAAGATACCAGATATCACTAGCAAAATAAGATACAAGATACAAGATATCACTAGGAAAATGGAATATCAAGAAAGTTCTAACATAAAAAACTTTTTTGAAGCAAAATCGGAATACGAAATTCATATTTGAAGAAAAAAGGGAAAAAGGTATATAAGAGAAAGAAGAAAATAATAAAATAAATACATGGCCGATTATTTATTTTTCACCAGCTGTTTTTGTAAATTTTGAACATTTCGAGTGCCAATAACTGGTATAATTTCATTAATTGGTGATTCACTAAAATATTTATTCCAAAGGGTATGAAATTTTGTTGGCAAAGTTCGTATGTTTAAACAGTAAGTAAAATGAATAAACATTGTTCTATAATGATCAGTTGGTATTTTTTCTTCTTTTATAATATTATAAATAATATTTTTTCGTATCATATTGTAATTGTTACTAGTTAATGATTGAGTAATATTACGGTTTTTGAGTACACGATTGAATTGATTATCTATAAATTTGCCTGGATATTTATTTAATAATAGAGCCATTCTTAGATCCTCACGTTCATCTAGAAAAGCTTTGAATGTTGAACATTATCTTATTGCTCGAAGGAACATGGTGAATAGAATGTTCTTTTTCATATGCAAAGGATGAACGCTATTAAATGGTAAATAGTATGGTTCGTATGATGGTTTATGATATACTTTTGCAAACAAATCAGCATTAATATTTTCTATATAAATATCAAGAAAATTTATCGACTGACCGGCTTGAGCTTTCAGTTGAATATTTGAGTCCAAAGTATTCCATTGATCAATTTGTTTATTTAAGTGTCGTTTGGGCCAGTTTATAATAATGAACATATCATCAATATAACGTAAGTATAGACCACCAGCATTTGTAATTTGTTTACCGATATTTCTTTCAAAAACGAACATGTAACAATTGGCAATAGTCAGGGTTAACGGTGAGCCTATAGCACCACCACNGTTAACGGTGAACCCATAGCACCACCACGAATTTGATGATAATATTGACCTTCATATAAAAAATAATGATTTTTTCATAACGAATCGACTTAATCTAATTATTGTTTCAATTTTTAAACCACCAATTTGCTTTAGTTCAAGATAATCTAACATTTTTTTTACACAATATCGTAACAAAACTGATAATTATGATCGCAATTATAATAAATTTTCTGAATTAACAGAAGATGTTTCAGGTACAGACATTGAATCGAATTACGATGACAATATGAATAATGCTGTACCAGTATTAAAGAATAATAAAAACAAGCAGCAACAAGAAGAAGAAAACAAGCAAAATAAAAATAAAAACAAGAAGAAACAAAGATGTTATTTAGAACCCAACCGAATTATGCGGTATATGCAAGATAATGCAACAGCAATTATAAGCAGTCGTGGAAATCAAGCATATATATTAGCTGCAACTAGTATTTATGACGAATGGGTTCGCAACAATTATGATCTACAAGTATGGCAAAATTATTTAAAAATGAGCACTGATGATAAACATTGGTCCAAAGAAGTAATTAAAAGAACAAAAAGACGAGATGATCTAACAAACAGTCGTTTTATTCACAAGATGATTCATCGACTAACAACTAGCATAGCTGAAGCCAATGCTATTATCTCGAATTTACAAATTCAACTGACCACTTATTGGAGTCAAATTGCTTCCAGTGGCGCTACCTCGATGACAACAACAACAAACAATAATCGAACTCGTGAACCAACAGATAGATTAGAAAAAATCATATTAAAATACNCGTTTTATTCACTAGATGGTTCATCGACTAACAACTAGCATAGCTGAAGCCAATGCTATTATCTCGAATTTACAAATTCAACTGACTACTTATTGGAGTCAAATTGCATCCAGTGGAGCTACCTCGACGACAACAACAGCAAACAATAATCGAACTCGTGAACCAACAGATAGATTAGAAAAAATTATATTAAAATACATACAAAATTGTACTCAACATGTCAGACAAAAAGCTGAAAATAGAATTTTACTAGCCAAAGCAGAGATGGAAGAATATAAAGCATTAGAAGTTTTTGAACAACTTGCCGGGTGTGGGTGTGGGTGTGGGTGTGGATGTGGGTGTGGAT